TGTGATAAGTTTTTTTTTAGCCATATTCAGGTTAGGATACTTCTTATTAATTTCTGAGGGAGTGAGTATTGAAAAATGTTATAGATATGTATGTATATCGTGATTGAATGTAAAATTAACATTATATATTCTATATTAAGTCTACATTTCTTTTGTATTTTAATTGGTCCATTATGTAATATTCTTAATCCAGGAATAATTTTGTTTTGTGTCTTCATTAGGGAGTTTCTGCGTTTGGCAAGTCCTTTAAATTGTGGTGCCTGGGACAAAAAGCTACTAAAACAATATAGGGTCCACAAACCGAGTTCATTGAGTTATGAGCCAGAGATGAGAAGTAAGTTGACCTTTGAAATTCCTGTTTTTGGCTTAGTTTTTAAATGAAAATCATGTGGTTATGAGTGTTATTTCAAAACGATTGTGAAGGAAAGGGAAGAGCTGTGTTTGTTACTTAAATGGAGATACACAAGATCGGCGGGATTAACTGAAGAAGGGTGCAGTTGGGGCAGAAAGGGAATTGTTGATGACGTAAGGATCCAGGAGATGAGATCTAAGGGCAGAATAGCCCTTGGCTTGGAACAGGCATACGTCTTCTCAGAGGGTTCGTACTTTCTTTGCCTTTCTCATGAAGCCCTTGCTGCGTGGACTAAAGAGTGATTGATTAGATTGTTATTGGCAGGCTGTGTATCTGCAGGGCAGCTGCTGCAGGAGGACATTGAAAATAGGAAGTTTAAAATGCTGATAGGAGGAGTTGAAGTTAGACTACAAGGAGTGTAGGCCAGTCAGGGAATGAAGTGAAGTCAAGTGGCTAGCGATAGGCTGAGAGCAAAGGGATAGGACGTAGGTCTGCGGAATAATGGCTGGACCACAACGCAGGTGTAATGATGAAAAGGAATGAGGAGCTGGCAGGAAAACGGTGGGATAATGGCAATCAAGGCTGAAGGAGTGGAACAAGCCGAGGAATGCCGTGTCCAAATTGTGACTCTGGAACGAAGCAGGCATGAAACTTGAAGGAAAGGTGATCTTAGAACTGGAAGGGAGGTGTGAGGTGGGCTGTTGGAGTGCGCTCTGATGTCCCCGAGTACACAGGCGAGAGCCAACGTAGAGAGGTCTGAGAAGCAGCTGAGGACCTGCGAGAGGGCAGAAGTGGTCGACTCACAGAGACCTGGTAGCATTGCAGAAGAGGAGCCTTCTGGGAGAAGACTTTCATTAGGCTGATGGACAGGTAGTCTGGGGAGTTAGCAGAAGGCAGACACTGCCTGCCCATCTGTCACAGCCCTAGGGAGAAGCTGCAGGCTCCATCCACTCAGAGCCGTGGGGAAAGAGTTCTCAGGAGAGATGTCGGTTGCACTGGATTTCCTCCCATGTTAATTCTGTGCTTCTGATGGATTTTTTAATTCTTTTTGTGTCATTGTTAGCCATCCTGAAAAGGTATTTTTGTTCTGATGGATTAAGCTGAGCATTACTAGTGCAGTGGGCAAGAATTAAGTAGAAGAGCCACTTCAGAAGGAGGTAGAGCTTGATCACCTAGGTCAACCCCTTTATTTTTTAGGTGAAAATTCTGAAAGTCAGATTAAACAACCTTCAACCATTATTTTAGTCTTAATTTTTCCTTGTATGAATTATCACCAGTGATTAGGAAATAATGTATTATGGAAACTTGAGTTCCAACTTTTGAATTCTCACCCAGTTTTATTGGAAAATAGCAAGTTATTGGACCGTTTCATATCAATAAATATACATCTCATGGGAATATTTATTGTTATTTTTGTATCTTATTTAGTTACTTAGAGTGGAGTTGTGATTTCCTTTGCTAAGAGTAGAAACAAAAGCAGCTCCTTTTCCTGAGAGAATATTGAGTTTTTTTAATGATTCCCTAAATGTCCACGTTTGAGAGGAAAGTAATTGTATGGTCTCGGGTAGTTTATCTTGAGAGGGAGAATTTTTCTCTGTTACATTTGCAATATATTCCTGAAAAGATAGGACATTTTGTTTAGAATTTGCCTTTTTATTCTTGAAATTATTATTTGCATACATTCGGGAATCTTTAAATTCGAGTACTTTTGTGATCACATATTTAATTCTATTCGTTACAAGGAAAGAATTAAAAATGGCAAGAAAAAGAGGGAAGCAAAGATGGCCTCCTTCCCTTCATTTTAATGCTTTCAGAATATTTTGCTTTTCTCTCGGAGAAATAATAAAAAATAACTTTGTGAAATACAAGTACAACCTGATTTCTAAACCACCCGCTGAGATTTGTAATTACACTACATTGTAACGGTGGCTTGTATCACGATGCTTGGTGGTTATCATTCTTATCTGTGTTCTGTAGTTGCCAACATTGTGCAGTGTGCCTGTTACTTTCTTTAGTATGAAGTAAGAAAGGAAACATAAGATATTTTCATGTTTTAAAATAAAAAGTACCCTAAAACTATACAGTGATCTTGGTAGTTCAAAAGAAAAATACTGTAGTTCATTGAAACTGAAGAGTGATATGTAAAAATAAATCAGCCTTGTAAGGTTGTTCCTAAATTCCACATGATTATTTGTCATAAGATTTTTTTTAACTTACAGGCAGTATGATCACGTCTCTTGAAGGTCTGGGGACTGATAATGTTTTTAGCTTACATGAAGATAATCACTACCGGATAAGCAAGAGCCTTGTAAAGTCTGCTGAAGGAAGTACTGTACCCCTGACCAGGGTGAAGTGTCTTGTCTCCATGACAACCCCACATGACATCAGACTGCATGGGTCATCAGTTACTCCAGCTTTTGTTGAATTTGACACATCCCTAGAAGGGTTTGGGTAAGGATTTGCAAGGTAGCCAAGCTTTATTATGTTATTTTATGCCTTGTACTTCCCTTTCCAAATAGCTCTTTGGTTTTAAATCTATTAGATTATAGTATTTTATGCCACACTAGATATTTTTAAATGAGTTACGTGAGCATGCTATTTTAAGATTTCTTCATTTAAGTTATTCCTTATAATAAATAAATTGATAAGATAGTGGAGTTTGCAGTCTAAGTCTCGTGGCCTTTTGTTAGCTAAGTTCTTGTGAACTTTATTTATTTATTTATTTATTTATTTATTTTTGGGAAAGTTTTATTCAGACATAACCATACTCAACCATCTGTACATACATTTTCTGTGGCTGCTTTTGTGCCACAGTGGCAGAGTTGAGCATTTATGACAGACTGACCAGTTCGCAAAGCACAAAGTATTTATGATCTGGTCCTTACCAGAAAAAGATTTGCCAACCCTTTGTATAATTAAGTATAAACATATAGCTAGTATATAAATTCATATTAGATTAAAAACTTTTTGACTGGGTTTTAATCATCATTTTTTCCTGAGATTATCTAGCAGAGTACCTTATGCATGGTAAGCATATTCACTGAGTGTCACTTCAGATGAGTAAATTATTTTAAGTGACAGACAAGGCAATAGTACCAGAAACAGCAACAAAGAATCTATAAGTGAGAAGTTCAACAGCCTTGACCTTGACACAGTTAGAGCGCTAACAGATAATTTCTATCTGTACTACTTGTTTATGGGATTCTTAGATGTTGATTTAAACCTTTGAATTGTATTTTAAGAATATTGCCAAGAATCATTATTGAACAGTAGTTTAAGACACTTCGGAGAATAATCAAAACTAATGAGAACAGTGGTAACAGGAGGAAGTGACTGAGGGGCGTGGGAGAATTTTCCTGTGGTGATGAAATCATTCTGATGCCTTGATGGGGTTTGTGCATCAGTGCATTTTGTCATATGCAAATTATACCTTAATTTTTAAAAAAATTGAAATTAAAATGATACTATTGGACATGTGTAAAGCATATCTTCCAATGCTTTTTCATAGTTAAAAGGAGAAGGTAGATGTGAATCTTACTAAATGTAGAATATAAACGTCTTAACACAACTAAGAAAATGACGTGAAGGCTGTGTTAACCAGTTGGATGAAAGTATTTCAAATTGTATATAGAAGCAACCCACTGTACCCCGTGATAGTATTAATGTACACAGCTATGACTTAATAAAAAAATCAAAAAAAAAAAAAAAAAGGAGAGAAGAGCTTTGCTAGGTATCCAGAGTTATTCCAGGATCTTTTTATTCTAGTTGCCATTAAATTCTGGGACTTAATTTCGCTGTGATAAGTACATATTGTTAAGACATAGTTGCTGTCTAATATATATGTTGTCTTTTCTTAATAGCTGCCTGTTTCTGCCCAGCTTGGCCCCTCATAATGCTCCCACAAATAATGCTGCCACCACGGGTCTTACTGATGGTGCTGTGGTCAGCGGCATTGGTTCTGGTAAATATCATTTTCCTTTTGCTTAAGAGGTTTTTTTTTTCTCAGTGGATTATTTTTTATTTAGAGTTCATATGCTTTGTTGGCCTCTTTTTTAAAATATAAATATGTCAGCACAAGCCCTTTCGTTGTTATTTTTCTATTTTTACTTTAGGTGAAAGATTCTTCCCACCTCCGTCTGGCTTAAGCTACTCCAGCTGGTTTTGTATTGAACATTTTAGTTCTCCTCCCAATAACCACCCTGTCAGACTCCTTACCATTGTGCGCCGAGCAAATTCTTCTGAGCAGCATTATGTGTGCCTTGCCGTAGTCTTGTCTGCAAAAGACCGATCTCTGATTGTTTCCACGAAAGAGGAACTACTCCAAAATTATGGTCAGTATTTGCTTTTCCTATTTTCATTTCTTGATGCTAGAAGTATTAAAACTTTAATAGTTATATTTAAAGTTTAACTGATAGTTCTTTTTAAAATTATAGCATAAAATAGTTTATATGAAATCTTGAATTTTGTACACCAGTGAATTTTAAGGCACTGTTGGAGAGACTAAAAAAACAGTGAAGAGAGTGCCAAGTAAGGACTCATCTCTACTTGCCAAGAAATCACAGCTTTTGCTAGGAAAGCAGGTTGCTTGTTTGATATATTTTGGTAAGGATTATCATTGGCTGTGAATTCTGCTTAACTAATTAATATTCATTGAGCACCTGCCTACCATATGCGCCACACTGTGCTAGACACAATAACAGTTTCAGTCACTAAACCTTGGAGACTCATTGCATACCACTTCATAACCCTGATTCCCCTGTCTCCTCCAACATGGTATATGTAACCTTATCTTGCTCTATCTTCAAACTGAAGACGTTCGTGAAGATCTTTCTAAATGAAATCAATAACAAAAAGTATAAGTCACAATTAACTCACTTTTCTTTGCTCTGAATGTATGCATTTGTCTGTTAATTGTACTTTTTTTTGAATTGTCATCTGATTTTCTTTTAACTAAATAATATCACACCAGCTTTTTTGTTGTTTTGCTCTTTCTCCGACTTCACTTTTGCAATAGTTTTTTCTCGTTCATCTTTCCCTGAAAACAAGTATTCTCCTTGCCACCTTTGGTCTTTGTACTCAACTTGGCTTTTCATGGAGAAAGAATCATCACCTTGTGTTCCTTTAGTTTTTTTTATCCTAGGAAAAAAAATTTGCGTTTGTCCATGTCCTGACTTTTGTCCTCATATTCCCAACTACATATTTGACTTCTCCATATGAATAGTCTCCCTATAAACATCAGATTTTAGTGTTTCTTCTTTATAACAGTTCTTCTCCTTCTATTTCCCGTCTTGGTAAAGGACTACCAGTTAGCTCAGCTAGAAATCTTCAGTAAAGCTTGCAAATACCACCTTTCCCACTGACTCGTTGTATTATGCCTCCTTAATTTTTCTTCTTTTTTTTTTTTTTTTTTTTTG